AGGACATACTGGGTATTCTCCCAGTGGGGAGCCCGCTGACATCCAGCATCTCCTCTAGTATCACCTCCAGTCTGGCTGCAACCCCACCAAGCCCTGCCGGCACCAGCAGCATACCAGGCATGAATGCCAATGCCCTTCCTTTCTACCCAACCAGTGACACCGTTGAGTCTGTCATAGGTAACTCTGCCTTTTTTGACTTATGCTGGTAGGGCTTCCTCAGCTGTGGATCACCAGGTATGAGCATTGGAATAGCATGGGTGTTCCAGTGAACTCCAGTTTTTCGTCTCTGTCAGTGCTGGCAGATTCCTGAGGCTGTAAGCTTTTTCTGTGACTGTGACACATCTGATGTTTTCTGCAGGTCATTATGGATGAAATTCACCCACGGGACCAACAGAAGGCCTCTGAGCCACTTACTCAGAATGTCAGATGGTGTAAAGGGCCTTAGGTTTGAGTTTGTCAAAGTGACAAAGAGGTCTTGGAGTAGGCAGGAAATCACAGGGGCATTTTCCACAGCTACAACCCCTTCCATTCTAAATGACAATTTATGGCTAGGGCTGCCACCAGGTAGAGTATGAGGACTTGCCCTTCATAGGGTATAGGACAGAGCCTGTAAGAAAATGGAGAAGAGGAGAGTCCAGAGAGTAGAATCACTCTTTTTAGATAGGTACAGGGTTTTTTGGTCACCTGTTTTTCTTATTTTATTTTTTCTTTTTATCTTCTTTTTCTTTTTTTTTTTAATCTAATGTTTCTGAAGTAATCTCAATAATTTGTTAAAAATAATAATAGAAATGAGTAGGCATGTGTGGGATGGAATTAATATTGATCACAATTAGTGATGAGGCATGTTCAGCTAGAAGTAACACTTGCAGGCATTTGTAAGCTTGCTTTATTTTACCCTATCTTCAAACCCCAGAGAGATTTTTTCAAGTGTTCTCTTCTGGTATTTTTCAGAGTGACTCTTCAGCAAAGTAGGGACAAAGCACAAGCCAGACCCCAGACATGTCTTAAGCCAGTGTTACTGCCTATTATGGACAGACTTGAAAAAGCAGTTTGGAGAAGACTTATGGGAACTGCTGTTATTTGATCCAATTCGTGTTTTCATATAACATTTGGCAATACTTTGAGGCAAAAATAAACCAGATCAGGTAAAAAAACCTGAATGGAAAAGCTGCCCGTGAGACTTCTACCAAACCATGTAAGAAGAGTTGCACAGGGTAGAGAGTAGGGCTGTGCAGGCTGACAGATAGAGAGCGAAGGCTCCTCTGCATGTAGGCTCTTTGGGCCATCCTATCTCTTGAAGTTGTTGGTCCTTTATAACATAATTGGTACCTCTGTGTCTGGCAGAGTCTGCCTTGGATGACCTGGACCTGAATGAATTCGGAGTGGCTGCCCTGGAGAAGACATTTGACAGCAGCACAGTGCCCCACACGAGTGGCATCATGATAGGTACATGAAAGCAACAGAGCTTTCTTTATCTTCTGCCAAGCAGTGTTGCCCAGTCACCTCGGTGGAGCCAGCCCAACAAAGCTCTAAAACCAGTCCCAAAATAATATTGGTTAAACCAGCAATTATAAGAAACTTTGGCATCCTCTGAGCATCTTTGAAGTGAAATCTTGTCCTTACTGACTAGCAGAGCTGAGTTCTTGCCATTGGGCCCTGGTCCCTTGGGGATGTTTCTTGAGACTGAATGGGACTTGCTTGATTTTTTTTTTTTTAATTTGTTCATTATTTTTTGAAGTGTGCAAGTAGACTCTAGAAGGCATCTGATACCTTTAAAAACAGGCCAAAGTATAATGATTTGCATCTTAAGCAGAAAACTCTCCCTAGCAGTAACAGGAAGCTCACTGACCTGGTAATGCTATCCATCTGTCACAGAGTGTCATCACGGTCTGCTGATTTGATTCCTGTAATGTCTGTCTCATTTCAATACGTGGAGGTATGCTAAGGCCTCTTCTACATGTCTCTAACGAGTGTCCAGCTATGTCTTATAGCTTTTTGGAAGTGGTTGTAGTTTCTGGCTACCCTTGCTGTGTAAGGTTTTGAACGAGAGCTGACTTTAGTCTGAAGGTTTCCAAGGGATTACACTGCCTGGAGCTGTGCTGAGGTAGGAAGGCACACGTGGAAGAACTCTAAAGAATATCACTTCCACTTCCCTGCCGAAGAGAAGAGCCTGATTGGAGAGTCTGTTGTGTGTGTCTGCTGATAGCCCTGCTTCTGCCACTACCCATCTGCAGTGGCTTAGAGATCCTCCATGCTGCTTTTCCCTCTGTTCACATCAGGTGTGGGTGTTAACCTGGTGATCTAAGAAGGGAGACCAGCAGAGAGTGGGGAGTGGGGCTGAGATCTCCCTCAATCTGTGCATGGCAGACAGAATGGCCTCTTGTATGAGGGAACTGTGATGTCTTTGGAGGATGAGCTTTTGTTTATTTGGTGGTTTTTTTTCATTAGGGTTAGATCCAGGCACTCAAGTATGTCTCCAACGACTAGAGCTAGTCACTGATTTTTAATGGTTAAGATAATGACCTGACCTAGCATAACAGTCTTCTCCCTACAGGTTGTTTTGAAGTACTAAAGGCAGAGGCACATGTTTTAGAAGTTAATTTTTCATGGCAAAGTATTTTGCCAGGTACCAAATTCATCTTCTCTAGATGGATAAGGACTGAACTCTGCTCTGGAAACCTTTTGTTGCTTTGGCCGATGAAAGGGTAGTCCACTGAACTCTGGAGGGTCCTAACCTACACGCTTCATGGGGTGGCAGCTTCAGTGCTCCTCTGAAAGGCTGAGAGGGGAATGGAGCGTGGTGAGAAGTGGAGGGAATCCCAGGGGGCTTAGGGAGGAGAGAGGGAAGCGAGTGCCTTCTGCTCTGAACTCCTGCACTGTGCTCTGGCCCACACCTCATGGTCATACATAGCCATCCTCTCTGTGTGTTCTCTGTCCAGGTGGGAGTTTGCTGCAAAGTTCTGCTCCTGTAAATATCCCCGGCTCCCTTGGAAGCTCTGCCTCCTTTCACTCTGCCTCTCCTTCTCCACCGGTCAGCCTCTCATCGCATTTCCTCCATCAGCCCCAGGGACACTTAAGCCAATCAGAAAACACGTTCCTGGGGACATCAGCTTCTCATGGATCATTAGGTAAATGTACAGTGTGTGTGTCCCATGTACATGCCTGTCCGTGCCATGTAAGTATTTTCTTTTAAGTTAGCTTTAATTTTAATGTGTTATTTCACTGCTGCCATTTGTATCTCCTCTTCCCACAAGAACAGCAACAGTACTAGAAGCTGCTTTACCAAAAACCAGCTAATGCCTTGTGAACAAGGGAGCAGTTCCGTCAACTTCCCATGTTTCTGGGCTAAGGAAAAGGGACAGATAGGTTAAGTGACTTGCTCTGATGATGCCTTTCTGGGAGAAGAGTTCTGCCTTTTCTTGTTAACAACACTGTGCTGAGACTTGACTTTACCTAAAACTCAGAGTTGGGTCCTCAGCTTTGCCTAGTTAAGGTGGGGACCACAGTTTGCCCTTGGGGCTGCTGATAGGTCAGGCTGGTGTTTGGGAGCTCTAGGGCAGGCTTGAATCATTGTAGTTTTTTCTCCTGTTTGGCACTCTGCATGCATCCAGTTCTGCAGTGTGGACTTTGAAAAAAGTTAGTGTTCCAGCTTTGTCCCCTTTGCTCCTGTGGGTTTTTTTCCTTCACTTCTTGAGGATATGAGAAAGACTGTGAAGGGAATAGAAGTTGCTACGGAGCTTTAACTGTATCAAGCAGAACTGGGAACTGAGGGACCAAATCTATTCTCAAAATGCAGGGTTACTGTGAGAAATAAAACTGTTTGGGCTCGAGGCTACAGTGACACTGGCTCTGCTTATTTCTGTTAGTAACAGTAAATATTAGTTCTCTGTGTTGATAGTAGATGTGAATGCTTCTTCAAACTTGAGATACACTTTGACCTTTAATATTCAGCTTAACTGAATAAAAATGATTACATGCTTTTGTAATCTCTTTCTGCATGCATTTAGCTGGGTAACTGCATCCCTTGTTTGTATAGGCCAAACCATGCTCCCATGCCTTGCTGCTGCTGTTTGTTTGGCTCTAACAGCTTTTACCATTACTGCAATAAGAAAAGAGAGCTATTAATTAGTGTTGAGGCTGGCTGTTCGTCCCAGTTTCAGTAAGAAAAGGAAAACTTGCTGATAAGTCCTGCTTTCAGTTTCAGAAGAAACAAGTTAAGCAGTTATATTTGTCTTGACTATGTAGTTATGCAAATAAAACTCAAAGAAATGCAGGAAATTCACATATGCATTTAAATACTTGACTCTTAAGGAAGAGGTTAGATATTTCTCTGTAATACACCACAACCATTTTTGCTAAGGTTTTGAATAAGACATTTAAATAGTAACCTAGCAGTTGGGCATCTGGGATCTATCTATGCCCTGTGACTTGCTGAATGCACATAAGTTAGTGTGTAGTGTGTGCAGTTATTACTTACTTGTATTGCAGTTGAGTTACAGATACCTGGTCCTGGGCTAGTTTCCACTGTGCTAGATGCAAAATGTGCAGAGAAGGCATTCCTGACGGAAGGAATGGAATGGTGAATGTGAAATGAGGCCAGCAGGTGGAAAGAGGGAGTAAAAACAAACAATGATAAGAAGCTTGGTCAGCATTATGGCAGAGTTTGTGGCTTGGCAGCATCCTGCTTAGTGCTAGATTCCTTTTCAAGAAAATTGGAGCTTTGAAAACAAAATGTGAGTTGAGGTTCCACTAAAACTTCTTGCTCTCAGCCAAGCATGCTTCAGAGCCTCTGAAATAGGTGTATGGTAATTGGCCTGAGCCAGTGAGAAGCCCCTGTTGCTCTGCTGAATGACTTGTGAAGACAAGATACTATTTTTCAGCTGTATTTTTTAACTGTTCATGTCTTGACTGGCACTAAATGGGAAGTGAGTGGTGTTGTGGTAGCCTTCCCTGAGAAGCTGCTGGCCCCAGAGCTTGCTGGCAGACAGTTCGGCTGGTGTAAGATCAGAATTATCAAAGGCAAGTATATTTAGGACTGTCCACACCCAGTGGTGAGCACCACTAAGTGAAAGTGACTGCTACATCAACCTGGGGCATGTCTGTGTGCCTGGGAGTCCACATCACTCTACTCTGTCTTGATGTATGAGCTTTTCCTACTAATTCTCCCCTGAGTACAAAATGTGGATGCTTATTTTAAGTAAAATATTTTTGTTATTAAAAGACCACAAACCTCGGAGTCTGCGAAAAATAGGAAGTTTTGTTTACAGCTTGTTTTCTACTGTCTTGTCTCCTAAGCTTTAAGTTTCTTCCTGAAAAGTGAAGCTACTTGAACAAGCTAAAATAGGGAAGTGGTTAGTTAGTGTTCTCCAGTGCCAGCCACTAACGCTAGCAGGTGATGAAGCTGTTGCTGTCAGCTCTACTTCTACTGCTTCTACTGTTGCCTCTGCTTGTTTATAAACAGGGGTTTCCAGTTAGTGCTGTTGCTTACATATGCAAACAGTAATGTCGTTGGTGTGACTGAGTCTCACCGTTTGGGACTGAGACTCCTTTTCTGAGTGCCAAGCTAAGGAGACAAAAGAAGTTTTCATAGGGTATAACGTAAGAGGAAGCCGCTCCCGGCTTGGCTGTAGGAACTGGTGTGTTCACCACCACTGGTGGCTGGACTGCACAGTGAAGTGGGAGGGCAGTAAGCATTTCAGAGGTTCTCATGAGCAGGGGCATTCAGTCTGGTAGTCAGCTCTGCTCTAAGATCAATGCTTCTAAAAACAACCTGGTTCAAAAGTTGCCTCCACTCAGTTTCTTGGGTCCTCCCTGTATCATTAATGAGGCCTAATGGAGTGAAACTTGCCCTAGAAAGTCCCTCTATGACAGACTCCTGGGGATGAAAGTAATTCTTCAGATGATCTTTTTTCACTGTACACGTTTTTGAGTCCTGGCTTTCACAGGGGTAGGGAGGAAAAGGGGAAATTGCCAGCAGCTGTGACATAACCCTCTCTATTTCCCTGTGAAACAGGTTTAAATGGGATGAACAGCAGCATATGGGAACACTTTGCTTCGGGGAGTTTTTCGCCCAGTACCTCACCTGCATTTCTGTCAGGTCCAGGTGCTGCGGAGCTGGCACGGCTACGACAAGAACTGGATGAAGCCAACGGCACAATAAAGCAGTGGGAAGAGTCTTGGAAACAAGCCAAACAGGTACTTGGGCAACTCCTGGGAAGAAGGATTAGGGAGTATAAAGGAGTAGGAGGGTGCCAGCCTGTGAAGAGAGGCTTTCCAGAAGATGAGGTGATGGGGAAAGCTGTAGGTTTTACAAACAGATTATTTTAAGCATTCTTATTCTTTCTTCTGCCTTGGAAAAAGGGACTAAATCCCTGTGTTTAGATGCTGGAAGCAGAAGGCCAGATGTCATAACAGATGCAGTGAGGTGCTTGACAGTCTTTTAGACCTGCCAGTTGAATTAGATCCATGACAATTTACTGGTATGCAAAGTTCAATCCTTTAATGGTGCAAGCCAAATATGTAGAACCACAGTCCAACCAGATGGGGTGTCTGGATCGAGCAGCACTTTGAAGTGAAGCTCCAGGATGTATCAGAATCTGGGAACAGGGCAGATTGGACTGAACATGCTCCTGGTGAGGAGTGTATGGAAATGGAAATTATTGTCTGGGATTCTTTCTTTGAGGCTGACTGAGTTTTCAGACTGCTTCTCTTACCCTCTTTGTTGGAACTCATAGGCTTGTGATGCTTGGAAAAAGGAGGCAGAGGAAGCAAATGATCGCGCCAACACAGCTAACATGGAATGTGAACTGGCTCGGGAGCAGAGGGAGGCCTTGGAGCTGCAAGTGAAGAAGCTGCAGGAGGAGCTGGAGAGGATCCACACAGGCCAGGACCCTCAGTTTCTGCGCTCCTTCTCTGACCTGGAAACACTCTCACTCTCGTCGCTGTACACCCTTCAGAAGCAGCTGCGGGCGAACCTGGAGAAAGTGGATAAGGTGAGTGCTGGGGTTGGTGTGGCAGGGCTCTGCTCTCTCTGCTCCTGCAGGTCCCAGCTTTTTTCATGTTTCTTTAACGCAGCCAGAAATCAGAAGCCTATCAAAGCTATTTCATGTGGATGTAGCCAAAGTGAGTTTTAGCCAGCCTATAAGAAAATAACTTGTGTCTTCTGTGAGCCTTAAGAGCAGAGTTTAAGCCAATCCAAGCTGCTCTGCTGATCCTAAAGGCCCTAAAAGACGTCACGCTGGGCTGCTTCGCTTTGGCTTCAGCAGCAGAAGGGGCAGAGCACCGCAGGTCCTTCCCCTGCTGCCTCCTCGCCCTTCCCCAGGCAGCCCCTTTGCTGTGTGCCCAGACGCTCACGTGGTGCCCTGTGCCCCTCTCTTGCAGGCGGTGTTTCAGATGCAGTCAGTGAAATGCCTTAAGTGTCAGGAGGAGAACCGGGTGGTGTTACCGTGCCAACACGCCGTGCTGTGCGAGGCCTGCGCCGAGGAGGGCGAGTGTCCCATCTGCCACCCCAACAGGCCCCACTCTATCCAGTCGTGACCTTCCGAGGACACTTCTTCTAATCATATCGTATAGAACTTTTTAACTTTATACATACGTACATATATATGTATGTGTACATATATATATGTATGTGTATATATATATGTATATACGTGTGTGTATCTGCGTGTTTGTGGATGTGGACATATGCACACACAGGCACATACACACATAAAACAAAAATTAGTTGCAGAGCACTTTTTAATATTTTACATCCCGTATCTAAACTGCCCCTCACCCATGCCCCACTAATTCTAACTCTTGAGGAACTTTGAGAGCTGTTTTTAATACAGATCAAAGGGCCATTTGCAAAGAGTATGCGTTTCTCCTCTTTTTCTATTTAGGTGATAACAAATTTTTGACTATTTCCAGAAGGATTTAGAGTGGGCAAGAGAGGCTTCCATGTGCTTTCCAGAGGAAGAGTTGAGATCACAGGGAGGAGCGAGGTGGATTGAAATGACTAGTTCATGTCTTCAGTCTCTCTGCTCCTTTGCTGACCCAGCTTGGTTAAAGCTGTCCTCCCTGATGGAAGCTCTGCTGGGTGCCTGCCTGGTGGGCCTCACGTTGCCGATCTCTGAATGTGCAGGAACTTTGGCTGTCATTTAATCAGCAAAGTTCACTTTTTAAAATTTTTTTACGCTCTTTGTATATTTGTATGAAAAGAAGAAAAGAGGGAAAAAAATTTATTGAACCTAGAGCGAGCCAAGCCCCAAAATTCAGTGACTAGTGTTCATTGCTGATACGACTAACACGTTCCAGGTCTAAACAGGCTTAGAAGTATTGCCCTTTTGTCAGCTAAAGCCCTTTATGAAATAAATATGGATGCAGAGGTTAGTTCTCTCCAGGCACCCCTTTGTCTGGTGGCTGCCTAGAGACTTTTTAGTGTTTTGGACCAAATTAATTTTGTTTCAGCCACGGGCACCTGATTCATCGTCACTGCTGAAGCACATGAAACAGTTCCAGGTAGTCTGAGGACACTTTTGTTGAACAGAGTCAGTGTCAGCACCTTAAGGGTGGTTTGTGGACTTCTGGGTCCAGGAGCCCTTGCGCTAGAGATCATGCATGGCTGTGGGGACAGAGAAGTCCAGTGTGATGAAGAAATGCCACCAGCTGAGACCTGTCCAGTAGCTGAGCTTGCCTGTGACTTTCTTCACCAGTGTGTCTGTTGGATCTGTGCATCAGATGGATTGCAGTAACCTGCTGGGATCTCAACCAAAAGGCCACTCAGTTGATTAAACGTTTTTACTTTGCACAGGGATGCTGCTTGTGCTCCCCCTCCCTGACCTGGAAAAGCACTGGAACCTCCAGCAACCCACTGTCATAGGAAAACTGAATTTTTACCAGAGCCTCTCAGAAAGCTTCATATTTAATGAGAAGACATAATTAGGTTTGCTTCCATAATTCCACCTTTCCTTTACATGGAAGGGGTTAATATGCATTCCCAGATGATCTCTTAAGTGCAGCTCTGTGTAGTTCTTTTTTATGTTTTTTCCATTAACTTGTTTTGGGGTTTTTTGGTAAAAAAAAGCTTTTTTTTTTCCCCCATGTGTATTTTCTTGTAACTAGCATCAGGTTTTTTAATTTTTTTTTTTTTTTTTTTATGGAGAGACACTGTTGAGTGGCTATTGTGGCTATGTTGTTTGGTTATAGCCTTTGAATGTCTGTGCCATGGGGCAGCACATCTGCCTTGGTCTGATCTTAAGGAAAGACCTTATAATAAAATACATGAACATTTCTTTTTTAGAAAAAAAAGAAAACTAAAAAAAAAAAATAAAGTGAGGGGAGGAGGAAAAAGCCCCATTAAGATAAAAATTTACTAAAAAGTTTTTGTAACTAACTTAAATCATAGGAAATAAACTCTTGAATCAGGTCTTTAATATTTATAAGGAGCAGAGCTGATCAGCCTGTTTGGCTGTTGGTTTGTAACACTTTTTGTTAGCATGGTGGTTTATCTGCTCTCCTGCCTCCCTGGGGGACTGTTCAGGGTGATGCTGCCTTTGGCCAAAGCCTCTGGTAATTCAGACCTGTGTGACTGCATCAGCTTCTCACAGGGGCTCTTTGCTTTGTCCCCTCTCTTTGGGTGGAACTTGTCTGCTGCTGGCAGCTCTGACTGTCTCAGTGAGACTCCCACTTGTGGGGTGATGCAGGACTAGTGGGTCTCGTGGGAGGAGATATTTGCCCCCAGTTTCCATGGGGGCTTAGGCAGGAGGGTACAAGAAGAATTCCAGGCCAGAGAAAGCACGTTTTTCCCTTTTGAGTAAAACAGTTTCTCTGTTTTATAACTTATACTGAAGGACCAAAGAATTCCAAACTTCACCCATTCGTGGCCCTTAAATTTTGACTTTCCATTGCCACACTGTACTCTTGGCAGAACAGCCTGAAGGAATTAGCACTAGCCCCTTCCCTTGCCCCCACCCCGGCCTATCTCAGCACTCTCTTTGCACAAGCACACAGACTGTTTCTCACTTTCCTCTGGTTCTTTAAGAAACGCATCCTAAATTTAGGTTTCTATGAATTTGTGCTGCTTTTTTTAAAAAAAAAAAAAAATAGATCTGAAATGTGAATTACTTTCTTAAACATCAGACGGAAAAAGAGAACTTCATCTTCGCCTATTTTGTGACTATTTGGGGGGGCTGCTTTTGTGACAATTTCATAACTGAGTGAGGTGAGAGCAGGGGTGGGGTGGCACTTCTGAGCCACCCCAGCAGCTGGCACTGCCTGCCCCAGGCAGGAAGGGAGAGCTGCCGGCGCAGCGCTGCGTCTAAGGCTCGAGAGTCTGTGGTCAGCTTCTGTATGGTGTAAAAAGAGTCTCGTTGAAATAAACCTGGTGCTAATAAGTACAGCCCCTGTAATGTACTGTCAGGCTTCTTTCTGAAGCAGGAACTCCCTCGTACAGGACACGCAGTAACGCAGCAGAATTAAGGGGGCTTCTTTGGTCGAGTTGCGCTTCGAAATGAAGTTTTGGTCCACGAGGCTTCTTGGTGAGCAGCCCAGCTGGCTGTTACTGAACAGCCCTGAACACGTCTGGGTCCTGCCTCTTCACACAGACTCCTTATTGGATAATGACATTTTCCTCCCCAGATTTTTGGGAGCTTTGGAAGTGTCGACCTCAGTGACTAATTGTGCGGGTTGGACACTTCTGAACCAAGAGCTGGGGGAAGAGTCTTAACTGTGTTGTGAAACCACAGTATCTTAAAGGTCAATAAACTTTTACATTATTATGGAAAAACAATATAGAAGCAGATGGCTTAAGACAACACTATTCTGGGTAGATAGATATCAAAAAGCAAGGCTAGAGCTGTAGATGATAGCCAGGAGCTGAAGAATTTGGGCATCGCTTTGGGCTAACAGGACCACTTTTAGATCATCTCTGGCCTCAGGTGATGTAGCTGCCTACGCCAGCTGTGGCACAGGAGGGACCAGGGAAAGTCTCAGAGCTGGAGCATGACGTTTTCATTCAGCAGATACCCCCCCACAAAGGGGTTCGCTGTAGCTGATCCCCTGCCAAAGGGTTTTATACTTTCTGTACATCTCTGAAGCTGAACCTGAGCCACTTGTAAGGCTTGTGCAGCTAAGACAATGAAGAGAAGTCCTCACCCTGGGAGGAAGCCCATAACGCTGAACGGACTCAGTAATTCATTGCTGTTCCACCAGCCTCCGAACCTCCGCTCTTTCTCCTTTTCCCTAGTCTGAGAAGGAAGAATATTACCAGTGTTTTCCTTCAGAATTATAGTAATCCTTGGAGCGATGGCCAACAGCAAAATAGATATTACTGATGTATAAACCTAGTATTTTAAAGGTGAAGTACTCCTGCAAACTAGTGACTGCATCGGAGAGATTTCTGGGGCTTCCCCACTCCGTAGCTTCCAATGTTAAAACAAAATAAATACAGTATACGTTTAAAAAAAAAAAAAAATAAATACACACTGCAGTATTTCTGGTGGCAATTCTTGACCAGTCTCTTCCCCACTTTGCCCAGGAGGAAGGGCACTGGGCAGAAGCGCCCCTAGTCCGTGTAGAAGTTGGCAGAATGGTGATCGGTGGTGTGTAAAACGTGTTGTTGATTCCATGTATCGAACTGTGATTTCAGCTGTCGTTCTCTCGTGCTCTGTAAATATGTGTTTTGGCTGTCGGAAACCTGGGTTAGACTCTTTTCTTGGCAGAGTGAATTTGCATGTGGGGCTGGAAAGAACTCAAATCTGTGTCACAGTTTCCAAGGGCAGGATGGATATTTTTTTTTTTTTTTTAGAGGACAATAAATTTTTATTTTTTTGCTAAGAAAAAAAAAAATATCAAATAAAGCAGCGTGTGTGTGTGTGTGTGTGCCCGGGGTGTATGTGCAGCCTTGCGCGGGGGCTTGGGGAGGGGTGGAGGTGTCTGTGCCATGGAGCCCTCAAAATAACTAATCTGTGGCCAGTTTTGCCTTCTCCTTTTCACATGACAGAGAATAATTCCTTCCTGAGCTCCCTCCTGGAACAAGCCCTTTTTGCAGGGGCGTTGCCCTTCCCTTTTATGATCAAGGTGCAACAGAAGATGGAGGGGGAGTCAGTGTGGTGAGGTGGAGCTGAGACCTTTAGAAATAGTAAAATACTGGGCAAAGAGCATTTTACCACCCAGATTCTTGGTCTGGACACAAGTTTGTCTCCTGCAAGAGCCAGGCTGGGTGGCTGCAGGGGACACAACCATTAAAATCACCACTTACATAGTGTCATGCGTTGGCACCTTAAAGAACATGCCGTACATATGGAGCCAAGGATTACCTTTTTTTTTGGTCTAATAAATGCTTCCAGGGTGCATCAACCACTTACCCTGAGTCCAATCACAGCAATAACCTGAATCGCCCAGTTTAGATTCTCAGTAACGCAATAAAATCAGTAACCATAAGTGCCTGCCCCCATCTCTCCTGTGGTGCAGCAATCTGCCTGTGTTGGGGTTCCTCACCAGGAGGAGGAGGAGGATGGAGTTTTCTTCCTCAGTCTTGCATTTGCTAGCAGCTGATTTTGTGTGCTTCAAGCGATCTTTTTTAATGCTTGGGCTATTTTCTTCCTGGTCCATGGGGTTAGTTACATGCTGATTGTTTAAGATTTATTAGTCCTTTCCTATAAAGGACATGAATTCTTTTGGAGTGGGAAAAGACCCACAGAACTGCCTGGAGCTGAGCTAGAATTAAGCTAAAAAAAACATGGTTAACAACAAACCAGGCTAGCTCGTGCCACCTGCTCACCGGACATGGTGTCTGCTGCAGCCTGGGTGATGGTCAGCCC